GGGGGGGGAGGGGGGTGTTGGCCTGGGCTAAAAGGGAGGGTAAGATTTAAGCCCTGACAACGTCTCGAGCCAGAGTGCAGAGCTCGCTTGGTGTGGATATGGGAGGAATGGTTGCTGGTAGATGCTAGTACCAGCTACTACTGGTATGTGGAATACTGCACTCTCTGAATCCGATGGAGCCGGGACCAAGCACCCCCCCCCTCCTCCTCACTCCCTCCCACCCTGGCTGAGGATGCCGATGGTGGGAAGTCGCGAGCGAGAACTGCGGAGGCTCATGGGGAGGGGGGGGGGTAGCAGTTAGGGTGTGGAACACGGAGAAACCGATGAAGGATACTGGTTGGCCAGAACTCCTGGTACCGATGCTGCCGGTGCTCGGCCTGGTTCTGGTTTCGGTTGACGGGGGGTGGCTGGCTGCGGGGTTGCCTTGGAGCGTTACTAGACAGCCGGGTGACTGGCTGGGGATTCGGCCGGAGGAAGGAGCGATAATCTTGAGGGGCCATAAATCAGGTGACCGCACATTCGCAATCCCGGTATATACGCGGATAACTGAATACTTGGAAACGTGGATACGGCTAAGTGACGTACACGCGAAGCCGCATTGTTTGCCTCCGTCTTGATCCCTCTGGACCAAAGGATTTTCGCAGTCTGTCCTCTCCCTTGCTCCGATCTCCTTCACTTCGCCGTTACTCTAATTTCTCTCACTGTTTCTAATTCTCGTCTTTGACCTCACTTCGGAGTCACCATATATGCTCGCTGCCATTTGGATTTGGTGAAACCTCGGGCCATTTTTGGAAATTCCTTTGACATACTTTAGGACTCCTGGTGCACCGAGGAATGCTAGCAGAAGGTGATAAGGAGCCATTGAAAAGATGCTTGGTACTTTGAACAGATAGTAATGCAGCATCCAGATGATCCCGGTTAAATTCTGATAGTTACACCCTATATACGCAAACTGTATAACTATTCATAGAACTATTTCGTCACGTCGTCCAGCTACTAATTTTTCACTTCCCGGTATCCTCCCTCTCTGGACCAAGGGAGCGAGGGGGTGCTGATACAAGGCACAGATCGCGTCAGAATAAGCCGACTGGCAATATAAATAAAAGCATCAGAGCGAATTTCGATTATAGGCCGGATTCCTATTGGAAAAGTTGTGCCTGTAGCAGCTGTCGGAATAGGAAAAGGATGAAACGTCGCGTCATAATTAACGAACTCCGGCCGGATTCGATAGAGAAGAGAACGAAGGGCAGTGAGGGATGGTATAGGAGAGAGAGAGAGAGAGAGAGAGAGAGAGAGAGAGAGAAAAAGAGGGAGTGAGAAAGAGAAGGAACTGAATTATTATTTCCGGACGTCACAATCGAGCAATGCCCAAGCCTTGTGTCTCCCTAAGGAATGTTCCTCGTACTTTTAAGGATAAAGATCTCGACAAAGTTACGGTCATTTGCAAACTAATCGTCCCTCTGGCTTTCGCGTCCCGTCGAAACTTTCGCTCGGCAGCGTCACTGGTACGTCGCGACGTTTCTAATCGTTCCAAGTGCGTTCTGCCCTGAACCCACGTCCCATATCCACGTAATTCCGTATGCTGCAGTCGCCACTAGTATTAGCTATATGTACACCAAGAAAAATTCGTGACATCCAAGAATCAAGGGGATGATCAAAGCAAACACAGGTATACGTATATACACGGAGTATAATATACCCACAAAAAAAAAGAGCAAATGACATAGGAAAAAGAAGAAGAAGAAGAAGAAGAAGAAGCATTAAAGAGATTCTCGAGTCTTCGGCACGGGAACCGAATTTTAATTCTCGTCTGGCAGGCTTTCAACTGAAGCAACCTTCTAACCATCCAGCAGTTCTACGTGTACCCAGCTACGTAAGAAGCCACCGAGCTATACTAGCTAGGTATATTAAAATTCCTCAAACTTTTTAATCTTTCACAGTAGTTAAATATTAATAATGAAATCTCGGATATGGCTATGCACACCGCGCTTGGGGACACCGAGTACCGAGTCCTCGTTACACTTAGTAGGCAGGCAGGCAGGCAGGCAAAGTAAGCAAAGTCTCGAGCGAGGACTGGGGGTGAACGAGTGCGGTGAGGCTCGAGAGGAAAAGACGGCGGTTCGGTAAGCGAGAAAGCGTAAAGGGGTCTGGCGGTAACGACGCCTCCGTGTATCATAAGTTAGAGGCTGCAGCAGGGGTTGGGCGGGATTGGCGTGACCTGGCGGGGGAGGGTTGCTTCGCGAGGCCGTAGACGAAGACGAGGGAGGGAAGGAAGGAAGGAAGGAAGGAAGGAGCTTACTTAGCCGCCATTTAAGCCTGAAAACGAGCTTTGGTTTGCCAGCTGAGATCGAGCTGCGATACAAGCGGCCTTACGGACCCTTTTAGAGGGACAGTCAAAATGTGTCGTCTCTTGGAGATTCTGTATTTTCGTCTCCTCGTTAGAGGATGGATCTATCGGCGAAAGCACGAGGATACTGCTCCTGCTGCGAAAACTCCCGGATTCAGACCTCGACCTCGAAACTTTGCGCTCGCTTTAAACGTTTAGCGTTTCTTAAGCGATACGAGTGAAATGCTTTCAAACGTTCGTTATACGTCTATTGTATCTACCGCGCTACTTCGCTCTGTGTCCCTGAAGGGAAATAGGAGTTTGATGGTAGTATCTGCTTCGCTTCTCCGTTATCTACTATCTGAGTATCTTCTGTCTTCTATCTACTATCTGGTATCCAGTATCGGGCCTCGGGGACGAACTCAGAGAGTACTCATAAATTCTCCACTCCCATCTACTTTATCCTTCTTGATTCGATCTCGAATAGATCAGCGTTGTAAGGGATGCCCGCACGGCTCCACTATAATTAATCTTGAGTGTGTTTACAGCGGAGAGGTGAGGAGTGGAGGAGGGGGGGGGAGGCAATGGCGGCGGTGCCGGAGGCTGAGACTCCGAGAAAACGAGAGACGGTCGTGGGTTTAGGAGAGACCGTGGAGAGAGTCCGAGAGAGAGAGAGAGAGAGAGAGAGAGAGAGAGAGAGAGAGAAACACTGAAGGAAGCTGTGATAGAGAAGCAGCGCGGAGTGCGAGCTATCGCGCGATGCGAGCTTTAGGGCCGGAGAGGAAAAATAAAAAGAAAACCAGCAGCAATTTTTCACGAGCTTTTTAAAGCGCGGCTTAGCTACTCGCTGAGCGAGTTTGAAACGATTTCACTAGAGGGCTTCATTTTTACGGCGCCTCGGAACACCGAGTGTTACATCTGTGCGGGGGGTCGGGTTCTTCGACGCACAAGGAAAAGCGAGGGCGACAAGCGAAGCTGCGAAGTGCGAGGATCCGTAAATACAAGATACGTGAGAAGCTGAGGAGATTCGGAAGTTCGTACGAGAGAGAACAATGAAGTTGATTTTTTTTTCTAAAAATCTTGGTCTCCGATTTCGAAAGATAAGGAATTTTGTGAGGAGCCGCACGTGGAGTGCGAAATGTACAATCACCTTGATTCGTAGATTGGTCGATTGGTCGATTGGTCAATTGGTTCAACTAGCAATGAGACGTCAGAGGGGTGGCAATGAGGTGCCGAGGGCGAAAGGCCAAAGACCGATCAATAGTCATATAATCTGATGAAAACGGTGAACATACCAAGCGAGGGAATCGCCAAACAAAGAGAATCAGCTCCGCTTGCTCGTCCTCTCCCTTCTTCGTTCTTTCCTTCTTCCATCTACCTTTTCACTTTCCAATCTGATCCTGAAAGTCCTCCTCTTCGAAGGTAATCGGCCGACAGGAGGCGATTGTTTGTTTTCATCCGAGCAACATCAGAATTAGCCTGGACTTTCCCGTGAAATTTATTAGATACGGAAGAATCAGGGTAAATCGGGAGAGTCAAGTGAACTGGAATTCGTACGAAAGGTATTATATAAGGATCGGATGAGAAGGGAACAAAAGCAAAAGTTGCTCCAGGCCTCCTCCGATAGCATCGTCGGCGGTTACGAGTATCGATCGACGAGATGGTCGAAGGCGCAGAAAGCCTCGAGAATTCAAGGAGAGTCTGAGAGGTCCTGCGATCCGAAAGGCATCGCGACGCTCGTACTGTTGTTATCGGCTGAAAATTCCTGGCTGGGCGCGCCAGTAAAGTGTCACTAGGGGCACAACGAGAGAAAGAGAAAAAGAAGGAGAAAAAAGGGAAAAAAGTCTTAGTCTAAAAGTTGGCAACGTCACCAGTACCAGCTACGGCCTCGACTACTACCATGCTACCATGTCACTATGCCACTATGCCACTATGCCACTGTGTCGTAAGATCGAAAGGGTACGCGATCAGAAGAAGGTCGCAAAACGACTTACGTTAGTCGAAGGGTCGTTCGACTCGATACCGCGACATACGCACCAGTTGGCCACAACCTGTCAACTCGAAGAGAAGCGACATGAATTTTCCCTTCCCCAGCGGTGGCTTTGGTTCTCGGCATCCATAGAGGTCAAGAAGAGAAGACTGGAGGGACGAAGGTGCCGACAGGGATACGCGATAGCCAATCATGACATCCCCCTTTTGCCTGAGAATCACAAGTCCCTTCTATCAATCCAATCCCCCCCAAGTTTAAGAACGCAGCCCGTTCGGAAGCGCAGAAAGAAAATGTTAGATTGACCTTCTGATCTGCAGAGTAGGTAATATCGTGGGTGGGTCTACACCACACCACTAGGCTGGAAGGTGGATACGGCGAATGACGTATCATTAGGTGGCTCAGAGTAGCACGCAATGTTGATATATATATATATATATATATATATATACATCATAGGGCTATACACGTGATACGAGCCATACAGAGACCATAGCTAAGTAATCTCCGATGATACGTTAAAGGACTTAAAGAGCACTTACGAGATCTCGCCGAAGGGTGCGAATGCTTCTCTCAAGGTCTGCGTCTCGATCTCAGGGCTGAGGTCTCCGACGAATATGTGGTAGTGTTCTGAAACAGATTTAACGAGACGAACTTGATTAGATGCCCTATCCCACATGTCACAAATCTTTATTATAACCATCCCCAATTACCTTCGCCCCGTAATTGGCTCTACCATCGTGACTAGGCTTCGTGTTAAAGTTTCCAAGAGCAAGATCGTTGCCTGTCTACGATGGGAGGAATCTCGAGGGTAGGACAAAAACTCGAGCGATTCCTAGGTCTAACGCGTAGGAGCTTAAACAAACGAGGGTTAGCTGGTTCGGCTGGCTGTGCATATTCTGGTACTTTATAGCCGGGAACTCGTGGATGTGAAGAGACCGTGAGTCGTGAGACCTGGGAAAAATGACGTTCGAGTTTTGCCTCGAGGATCAAGTTGACTTACGCAAACCCGTTAAAGCAATTAATTAATTAATTAAATCGTACTAACTACATAGATTTTCTGATCAAGAATTGCTTGGAATAGCAAGTGAGTGAGAGAGAGGAGGGGG